TTTGGGGGTTTTTTTTTTTTTTTTTTTTTTTTAGAAATCAATTTTATTGAAGTATAATTTGCATACAAGAAAAAGTACAGATTTTATGTGTATGGTTCAGTATAAAAGTTTTAACAAATGTACAGCTGTGTCACCACCACCATAACCAGTATATGGAACATTTCCATCACCCCACAAAGCCTTTCATGCCCCTTTGTAGTCAATCTTCAGCCCCACCCAGATGATGAATAATCTGATTTCTATCACCAAAGCTTCCTTCCGCTTGTTCTAGAACTTTATGTAAATTTAATCATACCGGATGTCCATATTTGTGTCTGGCTTTCGTGCAACATAAAGTTTTGAGATTCATTCGTGTTATTGCACGTATCCAAGGTTTGTTCTTTGGGGTGGTGGTTGCTGAATAGCATTCCATTGTATGAACACGCCACAATATATTTATCCATTTGCTTCATGGATATTTGGATTGTTTCCAATTTTTTGTTATTATGAATAAAGGTGCTACAAACATTCCTGTATCAGTATTTTTGAGAATATATGTTTTCATTTCCCTTGGGTAAATATCTAAAAGTGAGTTTGCTGGGTAGGTCCAAGTTCAACTTCATAAGAAATTGCAAAAGAGTTTCCCAAAATACTGGTATTATTTTATACTCCCACCAGCAATGTACGAAAGTTCAAGTTGCTTCACATCCGGCAACTTACTATTATATCAGTCTTTTTAATTTTAGCCATTCTAGCGGATAGGAACTGACATCTCAGTGTTGTTTTAATTGTATTTCCCTGGTGATTAGTGAAGTAGATAATTTTTTCATCTGCTTATTCGTCATTCATATATACCCTTTTTCTGTGAAGTGTTTGTTCAAGTCCTTTGCCTATTTTTTTTCTTGAACTGTTTGCCTTGTCTTTCTGAATTGTAGGAGTTTATAAATTCTGGAAGCAAGCCTTTTGTCCATATATATAGATATGGAATATCTTCTCTCCATCTGTGGATTGTTTTTTTTTTTAAGTTGTCTTTTGAGAAGCAGTTTTTAATTTTGATAAAGATCAGTTTTTCAGGATTTTCTTTTCCATTTATGGTTAGTGCTTTTTGTGTCCTGTCTAATCTTTATCAACCCCTAGGTCACAAAGATATTCTCCTGTGTTTTCTTCCAGAAGTTTTATAGTTGTAGTGTTTAGTTCTAGTCCTATAATTAATGTCAAATTAATTTTTAGTGTGTGCTATAAGTTAAGGGTGTGAGCTCATTTTCTTCCATACAAATGAATGGTTCAAGCACCATTTGCTGAATAGACTATCATCTCCCCCACTGAATTACCTTGCCACCTTTGTCAAAAATCAATTCACTGTACATGTGTGTGGCCTGTCTGATCTGTTCCATTGATGTACTAATTCAATGCTGGCTTGATTACTGTAGCTTTATATTAACTTTGAAATGAAGTAGTGAGTCTTCCAATTTAGGTCTTTTTTAACGAGATTATTTTGTTTTTTCTAAGTCCATTGTATTCCCATGTAAATTTTAGAATCAGCTGGTTAATTCATACAGAATAGCTTCCTGGAGTTGGATGGAATTGCATTGAATCTATAGATCAATTTGCGAAGAATTGACATCTCAGCAATATTGAGTTTTACAATCCAAGAACACGATATAGCTCTCCATTTATTTAGGTCTTCTTTAATTTTTCTCTGGAATGTCTTATAGATTTCAGTACAGAGGTCTTGCATTTTTTTCATTAAATTTATCCTTAACTATTTTATTTTCAGGTACTGTATGTGGCATTTTAAAAATCTCATTTCCCAATGTGTTGATATATGTATTAACCTTGTATCTTGCAGCTTTGCTCACTGCACATATTACTTCTAATAGGTTTTCTTGTTTTAGGTTTCTTTATTTTTCTACATACAATATCTTGCCACTTGTGAATAAAGACAATTTTGCTTCTTTCATCCTATCTTTATGCCTTTTACCTTTTGTTCTTTTCTCTTGCTTTATTGCATTGGCAAAGACTGCCAATAAAATGTTGACTAGAGTTGAGGACAGACATCCTTCCTTCGTTCTAATAACATATGACATGTCACGATTAAGTATAATTTTAGCTACAGGCTTTCTATAAATGTCTTTTGCCAGACTGAAGAAGTTCCCTTCCATTTTTAACTTGCAAAAAGTTTTTATCATGAATTGATATTTAATTTTGTCACATACTTTTTCTACATTTATTGAGATGGTATATGACTTTTCTCCTTTATTCTGTGAATGTGTTGGACTCCCATAGATTGGTTTCAGATTTGAACCAACAATTTGTCATAATGTAGTATCATTTTAAAATATTGCTTGGTTTTATTTACTAATATGTTGTTGCAGATATTGCATCTTTATTTCTGAGGGATGTTGATCTGTAATTTCCTCTTACCTTCTCTGATAATCAAAGTTAGGCTGGGCTCATCACATAGGTTAGGAAGTGTTCTCTCTTCATATATTTTCTGCAGAGGTCTGTAAGATTGATATTTTTCTTCTCTAAATGTTTGGCGTACTTCACCAGTAAAACCATATGGGCCTGGAGCTCTTTTTATGGGGAGGTTTTTAACTATGAATTCAACTTATTTAATTGATAGAGGGCTATTTTAGTTTTCTACACATTTTATGTCAGTTTTGACAAGGTATTTTTCCAAGGAATTGATCCATTTCATCTAAGATGTCAAATTTGTTGGCGTAACATTGTCATAACAGACTCTCATTACCTGTTGAATGTCTGAACCACCTGTAATGATGTCCGTGCCTCCATGTATGGTATCATAATTTATGCTTTCTCTGTTTTTTCTTGATGGGTCTAGCTGGGTGTTATCAACTCAATTAGCCTTTTCAAAAGCCAACTTTTAGCTTTGCCGGTTTTCTCTATTGTTTGATTTCTATTTCATTGACTTCAGCTCTCATCTTCATGATCTCCTTTCTTCAATTTATTTCAGTTTTTCTGTTCTTCTTTCTCTATCTTCATGAGGTGGAAGCTTTGATTGTTAATGTTATACCTTTCTTTTTTCCTCATATAAGCAGTTAAAGCTATAAATTTCCCTCTAAATATTGCTTTAACTGCATCCCACAAATTTTAACATGCTGCGTTTTTCACTATCATTTAGTTTGGAATATTTTCTAATTCCTCTTGTGATTTTTTTCTCTGACCCATGGATTATCCAGAAGAATGATGTTTAATTTCCAGTTACTTAGAGATTTTATGAAAATTTTATTGTTTTGTGCTTCTAATTTAATTCATTATAATTAAAAAATATTCTGCACAATTTCAATCCTTTGAAGTTTATTCGGATTTGTTTTATGATCCAGCGTGTGATCTATCTTGGTGGATGTTTCCACATGCACTTGAAAAGAATGTGTCTTCTGTAGTTCGGGGATGCAATGTTCTGTAAATGTCAACTAGCTCAGATTCTTTGATTGTGTTTTTCAAATGTTTTACATCCTTACTGGCTTTTTGTGAATTTGTTTTATTAGTTACCAAGAAAGAAGTGTTGAAAGTATTTAACGATAATTGGGGGTTTTTCTTTTTCTCCCTTTAGTTCTGTAGGTTTTGCTGCATGTCTCTGGAGGTCTGTGTGAACCTGTGGTGATGGCTTTGTGATGTGTTTCCCTGGCCAGGTGGAATTGCGTTTCCCAGAATCCCCTTTCTCTCATTTTTGCAGCTGGGCTGGGTCATAGGGGCATGCTGGTGAGATATGAAAGTAGGAAGGAGGCAGAGCCTTGAAGCTGGACTTCCTATACTGCCGAGGGCTCAGATCTTTGCTCTTAGTAGAGGTGGAATAAGGTGGAGGTTTGGTTAGATTGAGTTCACTTCTGGCTTTAAATACTTTGAAGATGAGCCTAAGCCTCTCCCTCCAGGAGATCTCTGGGACCAAGCACCACAGACTGCAAGATGGTGTCCCCAGAACCAGGCCCGGGGCATGGTAGATGCTCAGTAAGCAGGGAGACAGTTCAGTATGGTGGCTAATCGCACAGATTCTGGAGCCAGTGTTCCTGCATTCAAATCGTATCTCCACTGATTTTGAGCTCTCTGACCAAGACCGTCATTTAGCCTTCTGTGCCTCAGTTTCCTCATCCGGAAAATGGGGTAATAATAGCACCTACTTTGTAGGGTTGTTGTGATGATTAAGTAAACTTAGTAGGTTTTACAGAATCATTAGGTCTAGCTCTTTGCGACAACTACAGCCCCTTTCTTCACCCATACAGGGAAATGGTTGAGGGTGAGCAGCGAACCAGGGAAAAGAGATAATGGTTTTCAGAAATCTCTCAATCATAACCACAATTAAAAGCCCTAACTGCCTTTTCTGCATGGAGTCGGATTGACAGAGTACCTCTGGAGATCTTGTTTTGCTAATGGGGAGCTCCCAAACTGTCTCCTCTTCAATTCATTGCCTGCTGCCTCTTCTTTGGCCGTTGCCTCCTTCCCTTAAGGCTCCAGACCCCAGGGGTTAAGTCCAAAGATACAAGATCTGGGAGAGCAGAAATTGTGACTTAGCACGGCTTTCCCTACTTGGCCTGCCAAAAGCAACAGCTCTCTCTCCCCATTCTTTAATTATCCCGGGAGAATAGCCCAGAGAGGTCCCAAGACATTTCACACAAGAACATGCCAGTCTTGGTTGAAGACAACTCCCAGCCCCTAGCTATGGATGGCTTTTGTCTCCCCGCTTTCCTGCCTATTAAACACATGACAGCACATTGACTAATTGCTGGGTAATGAGGCCCCAAAGAGGAGACTCTTTCAAAAAGACCTGCAGCAAGATTGTCAAAAGAAGGGAGCTGGCTGGGAGTGCGACTGGCGCCCAGGGCTCAGGGGCTGGGAGCACAGCCACGCTGGCAGGGATTCTTCTGGAGGCTGAGGTGACAGGCCAGTGCCTGCTGTCAGGGACGCTAGGAATGCAGAGCTGGGGTCTGGGAGGCCATGGAGCCTGCCCCCTCCACCTGGGTGGTGGCCTCAGGAAGCACGACCATCCCTTCAGCCCCTGCTCAGGATTCCGTTCTCCTGGGGAGACCAAGGTCTGGGATGGAGCTGGGATGGGAAGAAAAGAGGTGTCCCAACTTGCTTCCTGCTGTGTCCCCAAGCCCCACAGCCCCTCCCCCACTCGGCATTTCAGTAAATGCATTCTCCTTTGCATTTGCAGACTAATCAAACCCAATCCCTGCGCACTGTGTGTCCTCAACACGACTGATCACTGTTAATCAGCAAACTGGCAGCACCGCTGCCAGCCCATTTGAGCATCTTGTTATAGATGGGAGAGGAATCTTGTTATAGATGGGAGAAGACCACCAAATGGCCAGCGCGGCTCCAGATGGTGAGATGTGGGCCCTGCCCAGGCCACGGAGGCAAAGGGGCCCCCGCGAGCCGTCTGGCATGGAGCAGCGATCCCTCGATCTCAATAACAAGAAGTGAGCAGCCTTCTCTCTGCAAAGAATAATACTTAGATTCTATCCACACGCCCCCACCTCCTTTCCTACCAGATGATCTTGGAGACCAAAAACAGGGCGGAGGAAAACCTCAGGGGTGAAGGAAGGTGATCTGGCTGCCCTCTGTTAAAGACCCTATGCATTTCCCTAGAAGCCAGGGTCTAGAGGTGGCCGGTAGCAGCAGCAGCAGGGATTTAAGCTAGTGTGCAGAAGTACTTCCTGATGAGAAGGCTGCTAAACTCTTCTTGAAGAAATGTTACCAACGACGTGAAGATCCTTTAAGTCCCTTCTCAGTCTGCACTATGTTTGTATATGCTCATGTGCAAGTTTGACTTTTTCTATCAGTGCACAAAATTGAGGGAACCTGGCCCAGTATTTATCTGGTGTCCCTTGATGTCCTCTCCCAAGTGGAAATCATACCTTTCTGGGCACTAGATCATGGTTGCTGACCAGGCCATCACCTAAGTGACTAGATTAGCAGCCACGTCAACAAAACTTTGCAAATCAGACAATGTGCTAAGCCCTAGGTTATGAGGACGCCAAGTCCTGAAGGAATTATAGACATCAATAAAAGCACAGGAGAGCACATTCTAAGTGCCAGAGCTGTGGCTCAGCAAGAACTTGGCAATTCAAAGGGAGGTGTCCGAGAAGCCAGTCAGGGAGGATCTGTGGGGAAGTCTAGGCTTGAGATGCACATCATGGTTGATTGGTTTCTGATGGGAATTTCAGACAGGTCCAAGGGGAGGCATTTTGGGGTCCCCGGAACTGTTCTCTCTTCCTAGGAATCCACCTAAAATGAGTACCCAGAGTCACAGGCCCATTAGAACTTGTCACATGGGGGATATGCCCTTTAATTAGTGACAGAGTCTTGAGGATAGGGAGCTCTCTGTGTCCCTTCTGCCTCCAGAGCCTCTCACAGGTCAAGGACAGGGCTCTTTGGACCATCCCCAGCTCCCACCATAATGGGAACAGGCTCAAGGAGGATGCAACAGTCCACCTCTCTGCCTTCAGATGGCATCTGATCCCCCAACAGCCTCAGGACCCTCAGAACTGAACAAAGGTCCTAGTATCCCTCCCGCTTTGCGTGGCCTTGCACAAAGGAAACAGCTAGAGGACATGAGGGTTGATCTGATTCTTGAGGTACTAGATCACCTGCAACATGAGGACAAACAGTACCACCAACCTCACAGGGCACACCTGAGGAATAAATGGGCCAATTATATAAAATGTTTGAAACAACACCCAGCATGTAGTGTGTGTGTGTGTGTGTGAGTGTATATTTGTATATATGCTGGCTATTATTATTATTATTAAATGCACTCTGGCAATGGCGGTATCACCATTTCAATTCGTGAAGAGTTACAGCAGCATCTAATTAGAAGGGGAGCTTGAGGCTTGTTTTGAAAATGTATTTGCATAGCAAGCAAACACTTGTTCCTTTTTCAATATTTTCTTCGTACTGTGAGGGATCATGAAAATATTTTCTTCATAGAGTTCTTATAAGGACTAAATAAAATGATACATACGATGCGCTTAGGACTGTGCCTGGCACTTAGTAAGCACTTGTAAATGCTAGTTGTTTGTTTGGGGTGGCTTCAGAGAGTGCTAAAGATTATAATGAAGGAGGGGGCATGAAGAGGGGGCACAATTATGCCCCTATTATAGCCAGGAAGCCTCTCATTAGGAGACTCTGGTTCTATTCCATAGCTAACATAAGTCTTCCCAGCTATGGTGTAACACAGGCATTTAGACATAAGAATTTCCAGATAATTGATCTGGTGCCAGATCTGGGCCAAGTTACCAGGGAAGCTTCCTGCATCTCTTCCCCTGGCAGTGCTCATGGTCTAAAGAATGAACATCATGACCTGTGGAAGGCCCTTTCAGACTCAGGACTCTGGCTGCAAGCATTTGAGCTCCTAGTGCAAGGACCAAGGCCATCCAATCCCCACTGATGACCTGGGTCTATGGCCGAGGAGAAGCACAGCTGCTGGAATGTAAAAGAAATACACGCTAAGCACCCCTTGTTCGCTCACGCACGCTCTCTCTCTCTCCTGTGGAATACACAGACAGACCCTTTCACCCGCTCACCTGCTCCAGGCCTGGCCTGAACCCTCCCAGAGGGGCCCAGGGGGTGGAGAAAGGCTCAGGGGCCCTGGGGGCACTGGGAGATCTGACTTCATGATGGAAGAGAGTTAAACACACTGTGCTGCCTCTGAAAGCAACGACAAACCAGCAGGCCCGAGCTTCTCCCCTCGCCCTGCTCCGGATGTTTTACCTCGTGGATCCCAAAGTGGGCGTAGGAGTCGAAGTAATAATCTCTGGAGGTCATCTCCTCTGGGTTCAGCAGCTTGGACATCTTGCCCCGCCCCGGGCAGCTGGGTTGAGTGGACACGTGGTGGACGCATTGCACAGGCTTGGGTGGGACCGCGGGCTGCGGGGGCTGGGAGGGGGGGCCGCTCACCTGCGGGGAAGAGAAGGGCGCCCAGTGTTGACAGTGGCAGCCAGGTCCTGCCCTCCGGGGTGTCACTCCTCTCCATTTCCCCACCCCCAGCCCGGCCGCAGCCCTTCCTGAGTGATGATGGCTGTGAATTGCGGGGGGAGGCATCAGGCCACCAAGCAGCCAGATGGACCCATATTGAACCCAGGTCCAGCTCTTACAGTTGGGTGACCTGAGCTGATCCAGGCCTCCGTTTCCACATCTTTCAAATGGGGAAATCAATGTCTTCCTTTAGAGGCAAAATAGGAAATGCCTGCTGGAGGGAAAGATGCACAGCACAGTTTAGTGCTGCTGGGCGGCTGCAGCGCAGATTCCGGAGCCCCCTTGCTAAGTCTGGAATCCCAGCTCTGCCACTCACTAGCTATGCAACCCTGGACAAAGTTATTAACTTCTCCGGGTCTCTGTTTCCACATCTCTAAAATGGGAATAAAATGGTCTCTACCTCTTAGAGTTTTCCTGAAAATTAGACAAGTTAGTATTTTTAAAGTGTTTAAGAGAGGGCTAGGCATGAAAATAAGTCCCACCTGCAACCTTAAGGAGATCGAGCCCACAGGCTTCTCTCCACCTGACAGGTAAGACCATGCTAAAATAGCACTCGGCCCCAAATGCAGGTGTCTCAGGTTCTGGTGTCTCACACCTGTTGCCACGCCCCCTGGTTTCTGATTCTCAGGTTTACCCTGAACTCCAGCACTGTGAACACCCGCACCGATGGTCAACGTCCTGTCTCGATACTACCAAGGGTTGCTCTTTCTGGGCTCCCCGACCCTGATGTTCGGCCCAGCTCTGCCCCCTGATCCTCCACAGGCTACGGCAGGAGAGAAGAGCTCCTGGAGCCGGGAAGTTCAAATGTCACAGCAGAAGCAAAATTGAGCCAGAAGAAGAGATCAGATGTGCAGGGCACAGAAAAGACCTCAAAGCGGGGCAGTAGCTGATCCTCTGGGACTGGAAATAAGGGCTCCTGGATCCTATCCTGGCTCTACCAAAATGGGAAACAGACAGTGACAGGCAGATGGTATAGTTGTTGACAATACAAGTCCTGGGCCACACTGCATGGCTCTGAAACCCAGCTGTGCTGCTTGCTGGCTGTGTGACCTGGGGAAGTCATTTGTCATCTCTGTGCCTCAGTTTCCTCCACAATAAAACCTGCCTGGGAGAATTGTCAAGAAGTTTGGATGATTTATTACATGCAAAGACTTTAGAACATTGTCTGGCACACAGTAAGTCCCTTATCATTAGCATTAGCATTATTCAGATTACATAAATCATGTCCCTATTCTGTCTCTATTTCCTTATCCGTGAGCTGGGTCAGGTCAGACTTACTATCGTCTTTCCAGCAAGAACAGGACTCCTAGGACAGAGCAAGAACAAGAAATCCAAGTGATTTCATTCCCCCATCATGCTGTGGGCACAGCCTGAGCCTGCCCTGCATCCATGGCTGGAGGGGAGTGAGCCTTGGGAGTGTGACGGTCCCATTTTCTTGGTGTATCTAGGCTACCACCTCTGGGAAATAAGCAGACTTCCCAGTTTAGCAACATTAAATTTCAGCCCGGCGAGATCCCGGGCTGGCTGGCAGAGGCAACTGGGGCTGCCTCATTAGAATGCAGCAGGTGCGCCCACCCTCAGCTTGGGATGTTGGTCACGGTCTCCAGGAGGATAAAAATAGACTGTGTCAATTGCTCACTCCTGTGCAGGCTACAGAGTCACCTCTAAAGCTGAAAATGCTCTGTGCATGAAGCTGACCCCAATATTGACTCTATTTAAATATATTAAGGAGAGAAAAAGTCCTAGCTGATTCTGGCACTGCACACAGTCAAAGTCACAGGGGCCTCCAGCACCCCTTAGCTGTCATTCAACTCTGATTCCAAGGTCCCTTTTCCATAGGGCTCCCTGAGACTCTCCCCAGCAGCCAACTCACAAAGTGTCAACCACGTGCCATACAGTGCACTCATGAGGCAAAGGGATGAATGGATTTGCAGCCATTCACTTCAATAGCCACAGGTCATGGGACAAAGAGGTGAACACGGCCCAGTCCCTGGTCCTGAGGGCTGCCAGCCCAGCTCAGCCTCCTGCAGAGGGGCCTTGCCCTCTGTCTGGAGGCTGACAGGCATCCCCTCTCCCAGGAGGCTGGGGATGGGGGGTGGAAAGTGACAGTAGCCCGTGATCCCTGGGCATTCCACTATGGGGGTGTTGCTTTTAACTCCACGAATGCCCGCTGAACATCTATGACAGCTAGACACTGTGCAGGTCCTGTGGAAGAAGTGGAGACGTGTGGGACCCGTGCCCTCCAGAGACTGTGCTTCCTAGACTCTAAGACCATCGTCGTCTCCACCAGATGCTGGAATAAGGTTTGATCTACAAGAGCTATTAGAGTGAATTGTTCTGGGGGCACAGAGGAGAGAGAACCCACTTCACTTTAGAGTCAGGAAGCCCGGGGAGAGCTGAGGGGGTAAGAGAGGAGCTTTCTGAATGGATTTTGGTAGGTGAACATGGTGGGAGAGAATTCTAGGGAATTCTGGAGGCTTGAGCAAAAAGGTAAGGGGTGGGAAAGCAGTGAGCTTGCCTGGGAGCAGCTTGGCTGAGATAGTGGGAGATTCAGTTAAAGGAAATTATGGCCAGGCTAAAGGGCTATAATTAAATACAAAGACAAGGACAATGGAGAGCTGTTGCTGGCCTGTAACCAGGGAGTTCTGTGTTTGAGCTCTGCTTTAGAAAGATGAATGTGGGAGCATGTACAAGAGGGGGCACGGGGGAGAAAGGAGTGGAGGGACAGGATTGGAGAAGCAAGGTATGAACCTAGGCTTTTTCAAAGTCCAGCCAAGAAATAGTGAGAACCTGAACTCCTGGGGTGCTGGAGGAGCTGCCTGCCAGAGAAATTGCAGAAATAGAATCTATAGGAGATGGCAACTGACGGAATGCAGGGGAAGAGAGAGAAGTTGGAATCAAAGATGACTTCAACATTTCAAGCCTGAGTGACTAGGAAAATTGTGGTGACATTAACAGAAATAAGCAAGTCAGCAGGAAGAGCAGGTAGAAGGGACGGGGGATAATAGATTACCATTTGGATATGTAGGGTTTGAAATGTCATTGAGTCATGTAAGAAAAGATGTCTAGCAAGCAAACATTAATGAAGTTCCAGCCAATACATGTCATTTAAAAAATTGAAAGGCAAATGATAAACCGAGAAATACATTCTAACATATATGGCAGACAAAGTTTAATACCCTTAATATGGAGAGAGATCTTAAAAATCAATAAGAAAAAAATGAACACCTCCAATTTAACATCAAAGTATCTTATAGTTTATCCACATGAGAATAAATACAAATGGCAAATCAATGTACTTTCATATGCTTCTAGTGGTAATGTCAGTAGGTCGAGACTTTTTGGAAGGCAATTTTGTAAAACACATTCAAAGTGTTAAAAAGCACAAATATTTTAATCCTGTATTTACATTTTTTTTTGAAATTTATCATAAGTAAAGTCCTGAATAATCATAAATATGTACCTGTAAGAATTTCATGACAGCTCCATTCATTTGGTAAAAAATAGGAGTCAACTCAGATGCTTCACAAAACAAAGCCCATGAAATAAACTACGGTGTGTCTAGACCACAAAATGCTGTACAGCCACTAGAAATATCACAGGAAGAGTGAGTGTTTGATAACACAAAAAATATGGTCATGATGAATGGTTGGCTGAGGAGGACAAGTGGGAGGAGAACAGACAGTGTATGCACATTTAAAAATTACAACCTATTCATGCCCATGTGAAGAGGGGAGTCTCAGAGAAGGCAACAGAATTGTTGGTGATTGCTACAAGGTGTTGGATTGTGAGCAGTTAATTCTTTTCTTTCTTGTGCTTATTTATAGTTTCTAAAATTTATGCCATTAACATGTACTATTTTTATAAATAGCAAAAAATAATAATATTGAAAAAGAAAAGGAAATGTAATCCTGGACATCTGGGAAGAAGCTGAGGCTGGTACTCTGGTTGGGAACCTATCTGTGGGGGGAAGGGTGCTGAAAGCTTGGGTGGGAGAGGCCCCAAGGTAAGGCACAGAGGGGAGTTAGGTGGGTCTGGGAGAGAAGCCAAAGTCATTCTCCTCTGAGGACCTTGGAGGCACTAGGGGACTGAGGGAGAGAGGCTTGGGGACAGGAAGACCAACAATGAAGGGGAGAGGACAGTTCTCAAGCCTTCAGTTCTGTGACTGCCCCTCCTCTGAGCACGTGTGACCCAAGCCTTGCACTCCAATGTCCACAGAAGAGCTCCAAACCAAAGTCAACCTCCATCCAGCCTCATGTATCCAGAAGGACACTGCTCAGGAAGCTGTGCAGAGTCACTTCTAGTGCTGGAGAAAACCCTGTTCACTAAGCTGACCCCAATGCTGAAACTATTTGAATATAATAAGGAGAGAAAAGGTCCTAACTGATTCTGGCACTGCACACAGTCAAAGTCACAGGGGCCTCCAGCACCCCTTAGCTGTCATTCAACTCTGATTCCAAGGTCCCTTTTCCATGGGGCTCCCTGAGACTCTCCCCAGCAATCAACTCACAAAGTGTCAAGCACGTGCCTTACGGTGCACTCATGAGGCAAAGGGATGAATGGATTTGCAGCCATTCACTTCAATAGCCACAGGTCATGAGACAAAGAGGTGAACACGGCCCAGTCCCTGGTCCACTGTCTGGAGGCTGACAAGGGGATGGGGGGTGGGAAGTGACAGTAGCCCGTGATCCCTGGGCATTCCACTATGGGGGTGTTGCTTTTAACTCCGCAAATGCCCACTGACCATCTATGACAGCTAGACACTGTGCAGGTCCTGTGGAAGAAGCAAGAGATGTATAGCAACCTTGTAGGTTTCCATATAGGCAAATAGGAACCCGTCTAGGAATAGCCCTCTGGAGCTATAGAAGATGGTTCAGCCACAATTAAAGGCCCTTGAGAAAGGCTCTGAAAACATGG